ATCTAAGAAAAAGAGGTGAAATATGAGGCTTACTTGGTAGCATTTGCCTAACGTACCAGCAAAACCCTGGGTTCCATCCGCATCACCACGTAAACTAGGCAGGTTGAAGTTGATGTTTGCCTGTAATCCCAGAACTCAATAGATGGAGACAAAAAAACTAAAATTTTAAGGTCATTTGGGGATAAACAGTGTGTGAAGCCATTCTGGAATACATGAAACCCTGTCTCAAAGGGGGGGTGAAAAGTCTATGAAGCAAAGCGTAGAAAATGTTGTAAGCTAAATTTGAGTTGTTGGGTTCATGAGCACCAAGAAGTATGGAATGGGCAGAGCATGGAGGAAGACAATGTTAGGAGATGGATAGAGATAAAGGGAAGAGGCAGGGGCCTGTGAACATGGAGTGGGCATTTGTACAGTCTAAGCCTGGAGCACTCCACAAAGATTTTTCAAAGCCAGGCAGTGGCAGTGCACACCTTTAATCTCGCACTTGGGAGGCAGAGGCAGAAGGATTTCTATGAGTTCGAGGCCAGCCTGGTCTGCAGAGTGGGTTCCAGGACAGCCAATGATACACAGAGAAACCCTGTCTCAAAAAACCAAAATTAACAAAAATAAATAAATAAATACTTTTAGTTCATGGTTGGCTGTCTTAGTCTATGAAGCATATCTCATGGTATTCAAGAAGTAGCAAGTTCACTGAGGAGGCCTTTCTCAGAAGGTGTCTCTATTGCTAACAAATTACTTAATCTGTGTAGGGTGATCCCTCACACGGGATGACAGTGACAGTGTCTCCTTCCACTCTTGACTGTAGAGTGCTTCACAGGTTTTAAACCTTTTTTTTCTCCATTCAAAATGATCACCAAGCTGGCCAGAAAGATCAAAAATCCTTAATGAGGTTTGCAAGAAAATTATTCAAATTAAGTGTCAGTCCAAAAGTTGAAGTTTGTTTCTCATTCCGATGCTGCATTAGATAAGAGAGGCCAAGTCTGCTCTTTTTTTTTTTTTCAGTTTCAACTTAAGGGAACAGCTACTGTTGTTCAGAGCTGGAGTTTCCATGATTCAATGATGAAACAGTTCAGACGAGAGGCCGTCATTCCATGTGACACCACAGAACCCAGTCCTGGCTTCAGATCTTTGCAGGAGCTGGGTTCTGTGCACTTGAACTTAATTTCCATTAGCATGAGGCAGAGAAACAATGAAATGAGAGCAAGATTTTTTCCCTGAAAGCTACCATAGCACCACAAGAGAAAATTTAGTAAAAATTGACCAAAACCTGTATATCTATCTCACCGATAGGAAAGCTTCCACTAACCACACTCTTCAAAGCCCTCCCTCTATATTAGTAAGCTATTTTAGCAGAACCCCTGAGCCAACAGGAAAAGCTCTTGAACTTGACATCCTGCCAGGCGTGACAAGTGACCAATTCGATGACTGTCCTTTCTCTGCTCCGAGGATGGCAAACAATTAATATCTCAACAGACAATAATAAAGAGGTTTGTAATTTTTTCTCTGTCTTTTTTGCTGGTTTTAAGCTCTTTTTTTTTCCTTTTAAGAAATTGATGACTAATTCCATCACAGTATCGAAGAGGAGCAATCCCAACAGTTTGTTCATATCCGCGCTGTGAGTGACACATCTGGAAACTTTCCACTATTTGAAAGCTGCTGCTCTTCTGACAGCGGCCTTTCTATGTAGCTGGCGTGAGAAGGCTTCCACAATAGTTGGGTGAGCGAGTCAACAGCATCACACGAGAACCGAGGCAGTGATACTCACATCTGCTTATGAAATCAGCTAGGACGTGTTTCAAATACCTCATGAACTTAAAAAAAAAAAAAGTGGAAGCCTCTAATTTGAGTTATTTCTAGTCTTAAACTGCTTCCACAGTTTTACATGATGCCCTTACTAACTGAAGCTGTGTGGGGGGGGGGTGAGTGTGGAGGGTGTTTTTCTAACTGTGTGCAGAAGTTAGAAACAATTTTCACTTTCATTTCAAACCATGAAAACTGAAAGAATGTCACAGCCGTATCCACTCTTATCAAGATCTTTATCAGCATGGTTATGTTTTTTTAGGTGAGTCAAAATTGGACCCATCACTGATACTGGATTCAGATGAACAGTTATGAATAAAATAAAGCAGGGGCTAGAGAGATGTTATGGCCAGCGAAGTGCCTGCTGAACAAGTGTGCTCACCTGAGTTCCAAAGCCAGCACCTATGTTTAGAAAAGATGGGGCCAGGTATGGTGGTGCATGACCAACCCCAATACTCAGAAGGCAGAGGGTGACATAAATCATGAGTTGGAGGTCTGCCTGGTCTACATAGTGAGTCCCAGGACAGCCTGGTCTACACAGTGAGTTCCAAGACAGCCAGAACTACAAAGAGGGACCCTATCTCAAGCAAACTAAAACAACAACAAACAAAAAAGTTGGGCTCTGGTGCTGGAGAGATGCCTAAGCAGCTTAGAGCCCTGGCTGCTCTTGTAGAGGACTTGGATTCCATTCCCAGCACCCACATGGCAGCTCCCAACCATCTGAACTCCGGTTTCAGGGGCTCTGCTATTGTCTCCTGACCCCTGCAGTAACCAGGATCACATGCAGTACCCATATATAAATGTAGGTAAAGCACTCACACACATAGAGGAAATGCTTTTGAAAATGTGAACTTTGGCGTTACAGTCGCGTACAGCTGTAATGTATCGGGGAGGCAGAGAATAGGCTAAGGACCTAGGTCTTGGTCCATCCAGTATAGTCAACATGGGAAGCTCCTGATTTAGTGAGGGACCTTGTCTCAAAACATAAGGTGGGCCTGGCAAGATGGCTGGTCTCCGTAAAGGAGCTTGTCAAGCCTGAGGACCCGATTTCCATCCCCAAGATGCGCACAAGAGATGGAGGATGTAATCCCCCCACATTGTCCTCTGACCACCATGTAACACTTTTGCACCCTCCACACACATACATATAAACAAATAAATAAATGTAACAAGAAGTTTTAATTAAATAAGATGGAAAACGATTTCGGACGATGCCTGTTCTTGCCCTCTGACTTCTAAATTTATGCTTTCACATAAATTTGCAAACCTACACAGACACACACACAAAGAGCAGCTAACCTTTCTCAAAGCTGCTGTTCTTCCATTTTTGTGCAATGATGTTTTTAAAGTAAACACCATGTCTTTAAACCCTAGTTAAAGTGGAACTTACTAGCCTAGTGGGCATGGAGAATGGGTTTCCAAATTAAAACCGAAGAAAACTGAGCACACACTGAAGTGGTTTTGCCCTTTGTATGTCGGGATTCACAGTCTTCCTTTAACTGCTATGAGCTCCCCATAACAGACAGGCAAACGTCAGCAGGCGCAATTCCAGATACCCTGCAATACCTCTGGTTCACTTACTGTGGCACCCTTTAAACTCTCTGTAGGTACTCAAATTAAGTACTCCGAGTCTCGATAATGGATATTTTAGAAACGATTGTTGAACCGACTGAGGGTTTCATTGTTTTTTTTTTCCCAGAAAAAGCAGGGAAAGCTAGTTACTGTCAGAATAGCTATTAACAAATGATAAAACCGAGAAGGCAGACATCACATGAAATAGGCATGCATAAATGACTCTTGAGACAGATAAAAGTCTTCGGAGGTTTTTAGTTACATGGCAGTTATTAATTAATTTTAGAACAAGTTGGGCCTTAAGGAACACTCATCAGGTTAACATCAAGAGTTTGCTTGGGCTCTGCTCCCTCTTCATAATTCTGCTGAGAGCATGAGGTGGTCAGTGGATAAGCCAATGCTGAGGCAGCTTTGTAAGATCCATATTTTAGATTAGGATTCCTTCCATGTGTGGCTTTACCAATTTTTATCCCAGATTCTTTCTTTTTTACCAAATTGTATTGTACTTGTTGTTTTGAGACTGGGTCTCATCTATCCCTGGATTTGAACCCACTAGGTAGCTGAAGATGACCTAGAACTCCTGATCCTCCTGTCTCTACCTTCCAAGTCCTGGGATTAGAGGCATGAACTACCATGACTGTTCTGTCTGTTTTGTTTTTTTTTTAATCAAATTTTTCTCGATTCATTTTATCCTTTTATATACAGAATATATATAAGTAGATATGTGTATGTCTGTAGTTTTAAATAGTTTGAGTACAAATAAATTTTTGGTTTCTAGTTTGGGTTCAGAGTAGACCTAAACCCGGTGGTGGTAGAACACACCTTTAATCCCAGCACTTGGTAAGCAGGGGCACGTGGAACTTAATGAGCTCAAGACCAGCCTGGCCTACAGAGTGAGTTCCAGAACAGCCTCCAAAGCGAAAGCCTGTCTCAAAAAGCCAACAAAACAAAACAGAGTAGGTCTAAGACAAAACCTGGGTAGTTCTAGGAAAAGAGACTCCAGAAAGTAGGGTCAAAAGCTTCCCCAAATTCTGAGTCTTCGCCGGGCGTTGGTGGCGCACGCCTTTAATCCCAGCACTCGGGAGGCAGAGGCAGGCGGATCTCTGTGAGTTCGAGGCCAGGCTGGACCGACAGCCTCCAAAACAGAGAAACCCTGTCTCGTAAAACCAAAAAAAAAAAAAAATTCTGAGTCTTCAACACCCATTCATGAGAGTGCAGTTTGAGGGCCACGTGTAGCCCAGGCTAGCTCTAAATACAGCCCAACACAAAGTCATAAACTTACTTAACTCATGTTGTCCCATGTATTGTTAAGTTCAAATATGGTCACCAACAATTAAAAATTAGAAAATTTCACACACAGCTTCTTCTGCTCCTGAACCCAAAAAGGTTGAACCCCAAAGCCCCATCAACTCCTTTCCCATTCTTCCCACACACAGCAAAATTTAAAGACTCAAACCATTGCTTTTCTTTTGAGCCAGGACAAGGGGACACATCAGAGTTTGCAAGTCAGAGTTCACAAGCTGGTACACACTTATGCTTTGCAGAATCTAACCCTCATGGGGGTGGGGGTTACCTAGGAGACAAAGGAATGTCCCAAGCACTTAGAAGATAGAATTCCAAATTACCAGACCAAGGACCAGATTTTCATCTGTGTACCTTTGTTTTCCTCTCCATTTCCAATGGTGTCTAGTATTTCACAGACACTGGGTAAGGATTTGTCCAACAAAGTAGCGACTCAGCAGACTCGCCACTCATAGCTTAGCTTCTTATAATTTCACTGTTTCGACCACCTCTTAATCTGTGGCTCTTGGTCTTTCCCTATGCAGTCTGCGGGGGCCTCTTCCACCGAGGCTTCCTGGATGACTCAAGACTGACCTCCTGACATTTTGAATCTGACATTTACTTTTCCTTCGAAGTAATGATTCATGACCACTCTGCCTTCAACTTTGTTTCTGCTCTGTGTTTCCCTGGGCAAATGGAAAGAGCTTGAGGACAAGTCTTTTCACTACTAGCTCTGACACAGGACAAGTCATGTGATCTCCCTGGATGAAGAGGGATTGGATGACCCAAGTTTTTGGGTCATGAGTGTGTTATCTTTTCACCATTTAGGAATGTTGAAAGTCCTGGGGAATCTTAGAGAATGGAAAGCACTTTTCCATAGTGTTTAAATATAGAATTTCTCAAAGTCCTTTTGACTAAGGACTTTCTCCTTGCCCTTTCCCCTAACGTAAGTGCCTGTTGATACCTTGTGGAAATAGGAAAACAAGTAGTCAAGACGTTTTATGGATTTTGGGAGACAGAAGTCTGTCTCAGAACTTACGTTCTCAGATTTGTATTAAGGGACAGGGCAAGGCCTGCTCACCAACAAGTCAGTGATAGAAGACAAACAGAACGACGGTTTTGGGTCATTCTCTAAAAGTAGGCTGCTAGCACACCCTTTGTCAACTTCGTCTTGTCTGAGCTATTTTATGGGCCTGCCGCTCAGTAAGTCAGCAATTAATAAGTCTAAACAGAGTCAAAGCCTCCACCTTCCTTGTACAAGGGACTCCAAGTTATTTGGGGTGAGGGGTGGAGATCTACCAGAAAGCTTTTTATCTTTTAATGACAATAGTGGTTGTGTTCTTTCTTGGGCCATCACCACCGGGTTCTTAAAATGAGGATTTGATCTACAACTTTGTAGACTCCACCAGGGGCAAGTCCTGCTCTCCTTGCTATCCATTCCCCACCCTGCATCTGTCCGCCATTGCAAAGGCTCAGAAGCCCAGCCGAGAGAGCAAGGCTGTTGTCCAATTCAAAGAAATGACAAGGAAATACAGCCCTCCCCACCTGGATGGTAAATTACTGTGAGGGAGGCAGAATACACTCTCCACAAATGAAAGTAACTCTTAATTAAGCAGGAGCCGAAGATCTGAAGCTGTTTGTTCTTCAAGACGTGTGCCGCTTCCACATTCCACATGGTCAGGGGGCTGTCGGGCTGCCATGGAGATGGAATTTAAGTATAGAACTGGAAGGGCCTCAGCCTGGGTGAGTCTCCTCCTCCCAGTCCCACCTCGCAGTTTGGTGTAAGAAAGCAAGCAAGGAAGCTAGAAACCAAATGCGATCAGTGATGCAAGCATTCAAAGAACACGGTGCATTTTTAGAGTCATTTAGGAGAACTTACTTTTATTTTAGAATCTATACATGTTGAGTAATTCTGCTATGAATCAGCCTGGAGAAGGCTGCTAGGAAGACCCAGGCCTTCTGCCAGCCTCCATCGCACAGGTGGGAGGGGAGGCTCCACCATGGGACTGATTCCACTAAAGGGAAAAGTGCTCTGGGCTTCTCAGCAGGAAACCCTTTCTGGGCCCAGACATTCACTCTGTTCTTGGCAAAGCAAGCTCCACCCAAAATGTAAATCAGCTAACCCATCATCATCTACATTTCCATTTTTGGACCACTCTATAGGATTCGGAAACTGTCTCCAGAAGATAGTTGAGAAGGCACCGCCTAGGAAGGACCTATCCATCCAATGCTTTCCTGTCCCTGTGACGTCTCTCCTTCTGCTGCATCTCCACTGGCCGAGTTACTGCTGTTCAAACATTCCTGGCATGGATTCAACTTAGCATCCCCCTTCCCCACACTGGAATATTCTTCCTTGGATTTGCCCATGACTTTCTTCTTTCTCAGATGTCTTTTGCTCAGAGAAGCAACTCTTCCCACTGGGTTTCAACAGCAACGTCCACACCTGACAGCCTTTGCCTCCGTTTTGCCTCCATTTTCTCTGTAATGCTGCTATCCACCATAACTTTTGCTCATCTCTTTTACTCGGGTTCTTCTTCTGCCTGTGGTGTGTTGGTCTCAAGGTGGTGGAGCTTCTGTATTTCTTACTTCCTGCTATAATGTCAGCATTAAAGTATGCTTAGCATGGTGCATAGCCATGGTAGAGATGCTGGAAGTCTTCTTTAAGGGAAGGACAGGGGATGGAGGATGCTTGAATGGATAGATGGGATAGGCTTAGATGGATGGGATGGATACATTAATGGAAGGATGGATAGCCAGCTACCTACCATCTCCCAGAGATCAGGGACCTGAGACAAGAGGTTTGATAAGTTTTGGCTCTGGTCTTAGTGAGGATGCTTGGGAGTTAATGTGAAATCAGAGAATTCTGATCACAGACTTGGCAAGCACTGAAAGTGCTAGGAACACTCTTTTCTCAAGCCTCCACAATGACGGTGTGTCTAAAGCACTCTCCACAGCCCTCCTTCCCAAGGTCTGTTGGCTTCCTTTCAAAACCAGAATGTCACTATCTGTCATGTATGCCGTTACCACAACACTCTTGTTCCTCAAGATACATTGAAGGATGGAGAGTCCATAAAAACAAATATATATCCAGTCTTTCTTAATTTCCCCCAACTCCTCCCCTAAGCCAGTGGTTCAACATTGGTTATGGCACACTCACCCTCTAACCGTCACAGAATTCATCATTACAAGATGAGTTTCGTCTTGTAATTCTCTCTCTGACCTTCTATACCATCATAGTTGTCAGGCCCTGGCAGTGTTCCTCCCCCCTACCCCTGTGTTCCTGTGTTTCTCCCATCATCTCTCTCTCTCTCTCTCTCTCTCTCTCTCTCTCTCTCTCTCTCTCTCTCTCTCTCTCTCTCTCTCTCTCTCTCTCTCTCTGTACCCATGGCCACAGCCCTGATCCGGTCTTCATTAGCTCTCACCCAGCTATTGCAATAGTTGCCCAACTAGTTTTCTATCTCCAGTTTCTTCCTCCTCCAACTCATGCACTGAACACCTGCCCCAGCAATGTCCCCCAAAGAAAATAGAAGAGATCACTCTCACTAATCCCATTGGAACGCCAATGGCTTCTTGGTACTGGCGAGTTGGGTCATTTAATCCTCCTTCCGGGCTTGTCACACGCTGGTTCCCTGAAGCACCCTGCACCACAGCTGGGTCTACGGCATGCACCCAAAGCCTGCTTGCCTTGGAAATGAAGCATGTGGTCTCTCCTCTCCGCATCCAGGCCTCCCCACTCTATTAGGCTTTTCCAGTCTAACTGTGCCCCACCTCCCACACAAGACTACTGAAACTCCACAGAGGACCTCCAGTCTCCTGTGCTGACTGAACCATTCATCAGATGGGGCTCCAGACTGGGAGACTCCACCCTTACTTCTCCCCATGTGTGCCCTAAGTCAGAAATGTCCTTTTCCTATGCCTCTGTGTGCTTGTCTTCTGTTCGCTGGACTAGAGCAAGTGCGCTCCTATCCGTGGTTTCAGGGGAAGAGACATTTGCGTCTCTGCTTTATCCCTGGAGCCCTTTAAACGGTGACAGCTTCCATAGCAGATGCCCACCCCTCTTCAGAGAGGCTGATAACAGTACAACTCCCGGGCCTCTGGGGATGGCTATCACCCTTTCAAGGCCACTTCATTGGCTGCTGCTGCTGAGCCATCAGGCTGCACTCTTGCCTAGCCCCTCCCCCACGGTCAGAAGGCCTCCCTGTCCTCAAGAGGACCACTTGTTACTCAGAGCTGAGTGAGCCAGAGTAACCCTAGCCAGAATGGAAAACAAATGTTGCACAACTTCCTCCAAGATGAATTTTAAAGAGGAAATCATCAGGGTGAGAAGAACAGACTTGATTTACCAGTTAAGGCTGTTGTCCTGGGCAATAACACATTCCTCATCTCTCCAGTGCCCTGTGGCATGCACCTGGATAGCCTAGGAGTCTCGTACTGTGGGCAGGTAATTTGTAAAACATGGGATGAGAGAGTAAGGCAGGAAGGAAGGGACAGAAGGAAGGATGGAGGGAGGGAGGGAGGCAGGGAGGGAGGGAGGGAGGGAGGGAGGGAGGTTGGGAGGTAGGAAAGGAGGAATCAAGGCAGGGAAGGAGGGAGGGAGGGAGGAAGGAGACAGGGACTCAGTTTCATCTTACATGGACACTTCCATAAGCAGGAAGACATCTGCACAGTGCTGCTGGGGTACTTGGCGAGAGGTGTCATTCGTACTGCTCTGGCTGAGCTCATCCAGCTGCTCTGAACATACCTGTTTCCCACTGATACTTTCCACCAGTTCATTGTCTTTTTCCCTCAGGTGCTCTTAGAGCAGTGGCTCAACCTTCCTAATGGTGTGACCCTTTAATACAACTCCTCATGTTATGATGACCCCAACCATAAAATTACTTTTTGTGGCTACTTCATAACTGTAATTTTTCTACTGCTATGAATTGTAGTATAAATATCTGATACTTCTGATGGGCTTAGGCAACCCCTGTGAGAGTGTCGTTCAACCCCCAAAGGGGTCATGACCCATAGGTTGAGAACCACTGTCTTAGAGAAAGCCATACACGCTCAATCTGTATCCTTGGTGCTAGGCTAGGTATTTAACATGTGGTAGATACACAAGACCTTGGTCTTGATAATAGGTATGCAAAGTTATGTTTCCCCGAATTGGAACTTAGCTGTCACCTTTGTGCTTTTCATTCTAGCCAAGTTCTCAGCCACCCGAATGGGTATTTTTGCTGCTTTCATTTGATCTATACCTTTTTTATGCCATTCTTTGTGGTAATGTCTGCGACATCACAGTGATGAAAGCAGCTTATGCTTTTCCTGGTGCATATTAAAACAAGCAGTGTTCATCCAAGTACCACCCGTAGTGAGCTGATTCCTCTTGGAAACATTGATTATACTTTATTCTCCAAATTGCTGCATCGAAACACGTGGATTCCATAATGTAGGTCTTCTAGTGGGATTTTCCTATGCTCTCACCTAGAGTCCTCCCAGAGAAGAGTATCTGTCTATCTTGGTCCCTAAAATTTTCCGTGTAGCACCTGTCTAGTTGGTGGACTACACATTTGTATCTGAGAAAAGAGAAGATGGTGTATGGTCATCCCCGATATCACAGCAAGGTGGACTCTAAATGGGTAATGGATTTGGGTTGTGTTGGTTATTGATGGTAGATTTCTTCAAGCCCTACTTTGTCCTTTTTTCTCATGTGTCCATGCCCTGTGTCTGCCCCAGATCTGGGTAGTCAGCCTGGGAAATGACTCACAGAGCTCTACAGAAAGATAATGAAGTGAGCAAGCAATCAGTCACTAAGTGAAAATATTTCTGCATGTATTCAGTAAGGAAGGGTACAGGAAAAGACACTGCCTCGCAAATGTACATGAAGTTACACAGTGTTGGCTATTAACCCTTTTAAATAAGAGCAATTGATAAGAGTAGCTAATAAGACAGTAATGCCCAGGAAGGGCCAGGGTTCACTGAAACCGGCAACCTCAGTCTTTGAATGTGGCTATGACTCTGAACAGGTAAAAAAAAAATTCTTCTAAATTTTGCACAAGTTAGCAAAGCAAATTAAGGTTCAGAGATGTCCCATGGCTTCCATTCAGTGGTTAGTCTGCCTCCAGGGATCCAATCCATGGAAATAACTCTTGGGCTTAACAAATATTCCATTCCTGAAAATGTTATAGTCATGAAAATCCAGGACCAATGAGAACATTTGGTGAGCATGGTCCACTAATGTCATTTCCAGGAGAGACTCCCTGATCTGTGACAGATACTGGAGTCAGAAACATAAGGAAGAGAGGACAATTAGAGCTTGAAGGAACCTACCACCCATTGCCAGCATGACCAAAATAATTTCCCATTTGGTAGGAAGACATCGTATGCTATAGTAAAATGCTTCGGGTAGAGGAGGGCGTGAAACTTTTGTAATTACAGTAAGGATGTAAAACTCTGTGCATGCATTAATAAGTGGATTCTCCAGGAAGCACTTGACTCTCTGGCAAGACCATACAGCTTCCCAACAGAGAGCATGAACTCTCATATCAGATCATCGCATTTGCAACTCCCCTGTGTTGTGAGCTTCCTATCTTAAGGCAAGTTGCTTCATTTCTTTGAGACTCCATTTTCCTAATCTGTAAAATGTACCAGAAATCTCTCAGGGCTGTTGTGAGGAGTACAAAGAAAGATTTATGTAAAACATTCAGCATTGGGCTGGCACACAGTAATTCTGACTACATTGTTACTCATCCTGTGCGGATCTGTCAATCATTGGCCGTGTGCAGTCACCTCATAGGAGGGGAAACCATGGGAATGTGTCATTTCTTCAGTTTTCTGTAGCAGGTATGTCTGATGCCTGTGAGGAGGACAGTCTATACTCCTGCTTGGCTGGCCGTGCAGTCATTTCTCATCCAGGCTGTCCTCAGCACCTACTAATCACTCACCCTAGCTTCTCTCCCCCTATCCATTCCCAATGAAGGATTTGGTCATGTCCTGCAAACTCTTTTCAGCAGCTTCATCAGATCCCACAACTTATAAGATCAAGCCCAAGGTCTTTGTTTAAGAGTTTTCAAAATCTGGCCTCAGATGTACAAGATGACTCAGTGGGTAAATGTCCTTGCCACCAACACTGGCACCCTGAGTGGCATGTCTGAAACCTCCATGATGGACAGAGAAAAAGCAGCAACTGTGAGCTGTCCTCTGACCTCTCCACATGCTGCAGAATGTGCTCGTCTACACATGGACACACATTCACAAATGAACAAGCACAATAAAAATCCCCGCAAAAAAGCATCCAGGCTGGACTTGCCTGACAGTGTCATGAAATGCCATTTTCCATCTTTGCTCTCCATGCTCCTAGTGCTCTGCCATCTCACATCCCAACAGAGCAGTCTATCAAAACCCTGGCTTCCATCCAGCATAACACAATACTGTTTTCTAATTCCAGCCTCCCCTGTAGTGGTGACTGGTGGACTCCACAGCCTGAGACACCTCCATCAGTGGTAGAGTAGGCTTCATTTTCTTGCTTCTTTGGGAAAAAGGTCATCTCCAGGTCTTACTTTTGTGCTGTTTGCCTTCTTTGAAGGTGGCTACTTTCTTATGCTTTCCCTTCCTCCTGTAAAGTGTTGTCTTTCCTGCCAGCCACCTGGGCCCTGCCGAGCTGTCTGAACCCCCAAATAACACACGAGACACTATATTACTTATGAAGCTGTTGGCCATTTTCTATTGTTTTTCATTGGCTATCTCTGACTTAAGTATTGACCCATAATCACCAATGTATATTTTTATAAGGACTTATCTTTCCAAGAATGCAGACTTGCAACCCCTATTCCTAGGAATCACATGGCAACGGCTTCTTCACCACATTTCCCAGAATCCTCCTAGACTCCTAATCCCACCTATCTTGCTTCCCTATTGGCCAACATTGCTTTATTGACATATACACAGGACTCTCCCATCATCCTCCCATGGTCACCACACCTTGAGCTCAACTGCTAGATTTCAGGGTCCGTGTCTCTGTCACCACTATAGTCTATTGCCCGGCATAATAGCAAACACATAGGAGATGCATACAGATGTTTGATTATCTATTCATCAACATTGATCCTAATGACGCCTCTAGCCAACCCAAGTTGCATTTATTTGTACAGAGTGAGTCTGGCCTGATCCATGCTGACCCCTTGTTCTTCTTGATGACTTCCAAGGTTGTCATGCTAGTTTAAATGGAATGGCCCCCATGGGCTCATAGGTAGTAGCCAATAGGAGGTGTGGTTTTGTTGGAATAGGTATGGCCTTGTTGGAGAAAATATGTCACTGTAGAGGTGGACTTTGAGGTCTTATATATGCTCAAGCCATACCCAGTGTCTCAGACCACTTCCTGTTTCCTGCATGACCAAAATGTTGCTCCTTCTCCATTCTCAGCTCCTTCTCCAGCACCATGTCTGTCTTCATGCTGGCATGTCCTGCCATGATGATAATGAACTAGACCTCTGAAACTATAAGCCAGCTCCAATGAAATGTTTTCCTTTATAAGATTTTCTGTGGTTTTGTTGTCTCTTCAGAGCAATAGAAACCCTAACTAATTTAAACCCTAGCTAAACTCTACACATTTTCTCACAGGACAGAACTGGGATGCTTGGGACAAAGAACTTGAAGAATCCTATCAGGTTGAATGGAAGAACAGTATGTAGACTTGAGTCTGAGGAGGATGGATAGCCTTTGAGAGTCCCACTACAGACAGGTAAATGAGTAGAGACTCAAAAGACTCATGAGTTTTGGTTGGAATATCCAGCAGACTTGGAAGTCAACATGCCTTAGTTATAATTTCAACTCTACTGGAACAGTTCATGACCTCTATGTTTTCGTTCTCTCATCTACAATGTGAGGATAGTAGCTGCATCTAACTCAATGAGTTCCTGTGAAAAGCAAATGAATGAAAATGCATGCAATCTTTACTATAGTGTCTGGTGCATAGTAACTAGACAGTAAGTGGCGCCCTTAAGATACAATGCAGAATCAATGTACAGTGTGGTTTGAAGCTTCTCTTCTGGCCTTTTTGGCCCAGGCTGATGTGATTTATAGGAATCTTTACCCTTGTTTTAACCACAGCCTCAGCCTCAGGTACTTGACCTATAACTCATCAGGCTAGCTTCAACACTACACCGTGAGACTTCACACTAATCAGACAAAGTTCAGCACTTCATAAAGCCAGGCTAGGTGCTGTACTTGGGAAGTAAAGGCAGAAGGATCAGAAGTTCAAGGGCATCCTCAGCTACTTAACAAATTCAAGAATAGCCTGAGCTAGGACTGTCTCAGGTTGGGGCAGGGGAGGAAGGGAAAGAGGGAAAGAAAGTAAAATCATCCACTGGGGATAAGTTGAAAACTGGAAAACAATGGCCAGGAGGATAGAGAGATGCTTGCCCCCCAAAGCATGAGGACCTGAGTTCAATTCTTAGTCCCCATGTAAAAGCTGGCTGTGATATGCCCGCTTGCAATTCTAGCACTAGAGAGGCAGAAACAGATGGAGATATAGGTACAGAGTTCAACAGTTGACAAAAATGGGCTCTTTTGTTGTTGTTGTTGCCTATTTGATATAAGAACTCATGATGTAGCCAAGGCTCATCTCCTATTCCCATTAGCCCTGGCTGGTACTGCCACATCCAGATAAAATGCCTCTTTTAACTCTTACTCACAGCGTTATTAATGTCTTGCAGAGGAGAAACTTAACAATGATGGACTAACAGGGACACAGCTGACTGTCCCCCATTCTGAGGCAACCACAGAGCTCTAAAACTTCCCATTTTACCACTACTGCTGCCACTAGTGAGGCCTCAAGTCAGCAGAATCCTAAGTGGTGCTTCATAGCCTAGGGGTAAGCACCAGATACTTAGTGAAGAACAGTATCCAGTTGTAGATCTAGCCCCCAAACTTCATGAAACTAAGGTCGCCTGTGGCCTGTGGCTGAGGGCCTCACCACAATACCAATGAATGTAACCCTATTCAAAAACAGGGTCATCACTTACACAATCAGTTGAGTTTAGACCAGGATGACTGGTGTTCTTGTGGGAAGAGAACAGATGTTGTTCAGACACCTGGGATAAGACAAGGATGTCATATGATGGAAATGTTGTCACTAGAAGCCAAGGAGTGCCGAAGATCGCTGACGACTTCTAGAAGTGAAGAACAGGAAAGGGAGGTGTGGTCCTGTTCACATTGATGTAACAAAATACTTGGCAGAGCAACTGGAGGAAGGAAGGGTTTGTGTTGGCCCACAGTGCAAGAGACTGGATCTGTCAGGATGGGGAAGGTACAGCAGCCGGACTGTGAAGTGCCTGCTCACATTGCGCTCAGTCGGGAAATGAAGGAATGCTGGCATTTGGTCTGCTTGCTCTTTTGCAGTTGGAAACTTCCGTCTATGGGATTTCGTTCTTCCATCAAAACTCTCTAAAACACCGTCCCTGGCACCCACATGTGTGTCTCCTAGGTGGTTCTAAATCCCCACAAGTTGACAATCAAAATTGACCACTGCTGAAGGCATTCTGCTCCACATCTTTCAGGGCAAGCACAGCTCAGGCAGTATGTTGGTATTCAAGTCTAGCCTTCAGAAGCCAGTGAGCCAAAACATAAATAAGTAAATGCTAAGCCACACTGTTCTGTCAGGCTACCCATTTTGTTCCTCTGTGAGAGCAGCCCTTGGAGAGGAATGCTCTGTTGGAGCTGAGAATGGGCAATGACCTACAAAAAGAACGCCCTTCTGTGGGTTCGCCCACTTCAGCTCTCTGTGGTCGCTGTGCTATTTGGCTGCAGCTGTGACATTACCACAGCAGGTGTCCACCCATACCAAGGGCTGCCCTTCCATGTCATGGCTCTCAGACTTACACCATTGCTAGGTTACTGACCCCTCAGTCTTCAGTGTCCTCTCTGGCTCTGTAACCACATGACCTTCATGCTCTGCATGAGGAAGGATGCTACCCCTAGGCTGGACACCCACAGCCAGCTTCCAGCCAACCTTGTCAGTGACAGCATTATGAAGCTCAGGGAATCAGCTAGGCCCACATGCTAAGCCCGAACGGACTTCTGCATACTGCCTTGTCAGCCTGGGAGGAAGGAGTAAATGAATCATCCAGTGACTCAAAAAAAAATTAATAGGTTTGCTGGCTTGTGCCAACACAATTACCATCGTGTCCTAACTTCCAGCAATAGCATCCTGGTGACTCTGAAGATACATGGTGGTCATGCTTTCTGTTTCTTGTCTCTTCTTCCCTAGACACACTGCTTGAATGGCTGAGTTTCCAGATTTTTTGTCCAGTTTGTAGTTTGTAATTTCATGTCTCCATGTCAAAAAAAAATCTACAGGATTCATTTATCCATTTATCCAAGGGTAAGAATGGGCAAGCCTCTGTGTTCATTAAGAGTAGTAAAAGGCCATCTGTTGAGGGTATAAAGGTTCAGGGAGGATGGGGAGGGTGCCAAGGGGAAGATGTTCACACAGACGCATCGCTTTTGTATCATTTGAGACTGATCCTCTTCTCAAGATCTATGTTAGCGTCCATGATTTGTTTTTAAAGATCACACTTAACTCACAAGAATTCCCATAGCTGGTAGTCCTGTTTCCTTCCACTGTATTTCATCCTAACACAGCATCTTCTGAAGACTGAGCTCCTTCAAGGATCTGGTGATGTAACATGTAGGTGACAAATAAAACTTCTGCAGAGCACACTGTAGGGAATCCCAGTATGCTAGAGAGTGAGGCCAGGGGTGCATGTATCTAGCTTGAGGCTACCCTAAGTTGTGTAGGGAACCCCGGTCTTTAAAAAATTCCATCTCTTTTTCCTGAAAAACTATTCTTCCAAAATAGATCTTCTATGTCACACGAGAAGACTTGAGGCCTATCTGACCACAAGCTGGAGTTCTTGAATATTCATAATTTGTGTCTTACATAATGTGCTCTCTCCCCCATCGCACCTGCTCGCTTTGAGTGAATTTATTAAGCGGATCCCTTGCACGAGCAAAGGCACGGCTCTGAAAGCCAAGCAGCAAGCCTGTCTTCCCATCTGCTCCCGTTCTGTGCTGACTGCAGGGGCTGTTTACCTCCAGAGTCTGAAGAAGCTGTGAACAAACAGAAGGCAAGGCAGTTTCCCGAACTGCTCAGAGTGGATTACATCACACGGGAAAACAACCCAGACCTGAGGAATTGCATTGTGGGAGAATCCCACTTCTTCCGAGTGTCACTTGACACACACTTGGCAGCTAGGATCTATATGATTAGTATGGCTCATCCAAGGCTTCCCATTTTCTCTGAGATGCCAGTGTTTGTGAAATAGCTTCTCTACTTGAATAAACATTTTCTTATCACTACACTACCCAGACTCCTTGTCAGGTTTCAAAACACGCTATACATTCAGAGTTTAAAAACTAGCAATGGAGCCGGGCGGTGGTGGCACATGCCTTTAATCCCAGCACTTGGGAGGCAGAGGCAGGCGGATCTCTGTGAGTTCGAGGCCGGGCTGGACCGATAGCCTCCAAAACAATACAGAGAAACCCTGTCTCGTAAAAACCAAAAACGAAAAAAAAAAAAAAACTAGCAATGGAGACATGAATGTGTGAGTCATTCTAGGACAAAGAAGATGGTGGAAAGTAGGTAGATGGTCTGAGGTCAAGGCCCAGGTGTGAGGGAGGGAAGGAGGGAGGGAGAGAGGGAAGGAAGGAGGGAGGGAGAGAGGGAAAGAAGGAGGGAGAGAGGCAGGGAAGGAAGAAGGGAGGGAGGGAGGGAGAGAGGGAGAGAGGGAGGGAGGGCGAGAAAGAGGAAGGGAAGGAGGGAGGGAGAGAGGAAGGGAAGGAGGGGGAGGGAGGGAGGGAAGGAGGGAGAAGGAGGGAAGGAGGGAGAAGGAGGGAAGGAGGGAGGGAAGGAGGGAGGGAGGGAAGGAAGGAGGGAGAGAAGGAGGGAGGGAGGGAAGAAGGGAGAGAGAGGGAAGAAAGGAGAGAGGGAGGGAAGGAGGGAGGGAAGGAGGGAGGGAGGGAAGGAAGGAGGGAGGGAAGGAGGGAGGGAAGGAAGAAGGGAGAGAGAGGGAAGAAAGGAGAGAGGGAGGGAAGGAGGGAGGGAGGGAAGGAGGGAGGGAGGGAAGGAGGGAGAAGGAGGGAAGGAGGGAGGGAAGGAGGGAGGGAGGGAAGGAAGGAGGGAGAGGAGGGAGGGAGGGAAGAAGGGAGAGAGAGGGAAGAAAGGAGAGAGGGAGGGAAGGAGGGAGGGAGGGAAGGAGGGAGGGAGGGAAGGAGGGAGGGAGGCCGACTTATTTTTGAAGAATGGATGAAACTGGACATGGTGGCATACACCAGTAACCCTTGAACTCATGATGCTGAAGGCTCGCCCTGAGTTCCAGGTTAGTCTGGACTAGAAAACAAGACCTGTCTCAACAGAGACAGAGAGAGAGATAGAGAGACAGGAACAGAGACAGGAACAGAGACACACACACACAGAGAGAGAGAGAGAGAGAGAGAGAGAGAGAGAGAGAGAGAGAGAGAGAGAGAGAGAGAGAGAGAGAGAGAGAGACTGAGACAGGAAGCACAATGAATGATGGAATTTCAAAAGCAGAGAGATGAGGAAGAGGGAAGGTGCCATCCTTTAGAAATAAAGAAGGATGAGGAGGGCAGACAGACAGATGTTGGATGAATACAGCATTAAACACTACTGCAGCCAGAGTTTCAGGTGGGAGACAGCAGGAGGTGCTAAGATGGCCCTGGGAAAGGGAGTGCAAGCCAGACATCGAAAGGTTTGACGTAAGTAGGAATGAAGGAGTATTGCTACAGGTGTGTGTGTGTGAGAGAGAGAGAGAGAGACAGAGAGACAGAGAGAGAGACAGAGAGACAGAGAGAGAGACAGAGAGACAGAGAGAGAGAGAGAGAGAGAGAGAGAGAGAGAGAGAGAGAGAGAGAGAGAGAGAGAGCACGTGTCACAGGTAGAGGACAATTTGTGAGAGTCAGCTCTCTCTTTCCACTATGTGGGATCCGGTGATTAAACTCAGGTCATCAGGCTTGTTCTCTGTGATGGGGAAAGGGAGCTTCGAGTAGTTTGATGGTTCCCTGCTAACAAGAATGTTAGTGCCATTGAATTGTACACATGAAAAAGAAAGATTAAAATGGCAGAGTTAGAGTCATGCATATTTTGTAAATGCCCATGCTTTGTTTTTAGGAAGGCCTCGACTACTGGAAGACACAGGCCACTCCAGCCCTCTAGCTTGGCACGTGACATGCTCACGACCATGGGAATGAATGCACTGTTATAAAAATATAAAACAGACGTGGATCAGAGAACACTGCAGCTGGAAGAGGCCGGGGAGAAAGAGAAACCTGAGGCAGGGTCACCAATGAGAGGCCATGCTGGTGGCCCCAGAAGAGCCTGAATGGTGTAGTGCCCGGCCCAAGGCTGCTGAGGGCTGGAAGACCATTGTCAGAATTGAGACTTAGCTTTAACTAGTCTTTTTCTACACTGCCAGCCCCCAAATAATGACTCGGAGACTTATTATTAATTATGAAAGCTCGGCCTTAGCTTAGGCTTCTTCTCACCTAGCTCTTATAACTTAAATTAACCCACTTACATGAGTCTATGTTCTGCCCATGACATCACCTCATCTTTGTACTTCCCATCCTGCTTCCTCCACATCTGGCTAGCAGCTCTGCCTTTCTCCTTCCCCAAGTCCACCCTTCGACCGGAAGTTCCGCCTACACTCTCCTGCCTAGCTATTGGCCTTTCAACGTATTATTATACCAATCACAGCAACACATCTTCACACAGTGTATGAATATCCCACAACACTTTGCCATTGTCTAGAGATGCCCGGAATGCACAGGGGGCCGGAGAGTCAAGGCAAGGATGCCTTCACCCCCAAGACCTCTCACACTGCTTATAGACCTACCTCTCCCATGCTCCCTGTGGCTCTACACCCCATACACGTAACCTTAAGATGGTCTAGCCACACTCAGGAAACAAACCAGAGAGATATACCGACAGTCCCAGCCTCTGCAAGCCTCACTTCCCTGGCCAATCCCCCTCCTCATCCCAACACAGCCCCAGTCTGGACTTGCCCGTTCTTTAGGCTCATGCCTCATTCGGTCCCTTTTGCCTGAAAGGCACTTTGTGGGGGAACTCCGATTGATCCTATGTGGCCTAGCCACAATGTTGTCGCTTCACCCTCTCTACAATTGCCTGGAAGAAGATTCCCTGCCTCTCCCGGGCTCCCCCAGAAAATGGATCTCTGCAATGAGCACTGTGTTTGATAATCATTCACTATCATCTCTCTCCCCAGCTGGAACTGAATCCTACCACCAGGCTCCCACCCTATCCACTGGCACACCTCACACATGTTGACTTGGTTCTCTTTTCTCAAACCCATTCCATACACGATCCTTCCTGATTTATGCACAGAATTAAAGATTCGTCCCTGAGCAAAGTTGTCAGCTGATGCAAAGGAGAGAGAAGCTGAGGGGTCGGTGTCCAAGACTCAAAACACCTGGAGATTAATTGGATGGTTACACCTAGATCTCCAGGTAACTATTTCTGAAACATCGAGACAGGGACAAAGTGGAATGTGTGGGTAGGGGTTGAACTATGGTCCTATTGGTAGGTTTGTCATCAACCTTATGACAGCAAAGGTTTCATCTTTTCTCCTTTTTCCCCGGGTCTCCCCTCCACACACATTTACACCTACATCCTGATGGTGACCTCATGGGAACCCTAGCTATCTGCCCCCCTGTCCCCAGGAATGGCTGCCAACTGCATCCTGGAAATGAATTTTCTGTAGGCCCTACCACCCCGGTATAGAGGATGAAAACCTCCAGGCCCCACTGTCTGAGCTGGGGTTGTGTCCTCAGGCATGTCATCAGGACACCATGACAGCTATGTACCCTTTCAGAAGGATTGTGAGATAAGGTACAAGGCTTTAGAGGACTTTCAGTGAACATTCCTACCCCCAGGGGGCCCGGGAATGTCTCTTCTGCAATATTAACCTGCAAGGTATGTGGTAGTCCTTATCTGAGGCTACCCTGGAGCAGGGTGGAGTTCTGACACCACAAAGAGCCCAGCTTCAGTCTTGTTTGCTCTTGGGGACCTAGCCAATCCTAAGGCAACCTGGAAATATCTCCAAAGGCCTCATGTTAAAAAAAAAAAAAAAAAACAAGAGGAGGGAGGGATGAAGAGAGCAACAGGAAACATCGGAAGTAAGTGTGCCAGTCAGCAAGTGTGGGGTGCTCTCCATCATGCCTACTCCCTACTCTAAGGGGCTCCCCCACTCCATGAGCAGAAGAGTGATTCTTACTGTTGCCCTCTTAAGAGAGCAGGTCCCATTTCTAGGCACCAAATGGACCGGACCTTGGCACCTAGACAGCTGTCACCTCTGCTTTTATGCAGTTACACACACAGCATCCTTTCAAACCATGATGACAGATTAGCTCCACATAGAGCCGTTGCAAAATGTATGCACTAATGCATAAATTGATCATCCATTTTACGCAAGGCCTGTGCTGGGGGAAACGAGTCATTAAAAAGTACATAGAATCCTCCACTCTCACTGTTTTTTTTTGAAGGTCTTATGATACGTGCGCATGGTGTTCTCTCAAGTGTTGTCTACAACAAGAGAAAAATTGGAAATGGCTTAGGTATCCTTGTCAAGAGGAAAAACCAATAAAACGGAGCAGACTCACGCCAGGGGAAGTAACAGAAATCCAACAGGACTAACTAGAGTTTATGTGTGCTCTCCCCAGCAGATCCCAAATGTGTACTGAGCGAAGAAGTCAAAACACAAAGTGATACATGTAGTGACATAACACTTATGCAAAAGCATACCTAGTGGAAACTGCTGTATGGGCTAGCAGGGTGATTCAGTGGGTATAGGCAGGCACTTGCTGTTAAACCTGATGACCTGAGTTCAGTCCCCAGAAACCACACAGTAGAAGGAGAGAATCAACTTCTGAAAATTGTCCCCTGGCTTCCACACAAGTTTACATGCATACGTTTACATGCTCTCTCTCTGTCTTTCTCTGTCTCTGTCTCTCTCTGTCTCTCTCTCTCTCCTCCCCTTCTCTCTCTCCCCGTAAATAAATAATAAAAAAATAAAATGTAATAAAAATTTAGAAGAAAGCAATGTTTTATGTGTATTTCAAATACATATTGTATTGGCATTAAAAGCATGTTTTGTGCAGGTGTATGTGTGCTTGTGTGTGTACATATTACTGTGTGTGCACATGTGTGAATGCACATGTGGGTAAAGGTTCTCTGTCTATAGAGGCTACTGGACAACCCATGGGTGCTCTTCCCAGGTTCCATCCACCTTGTTTATTGAGACCGTTTCACTGGCCTGGAACTCACC